TATATATATACACAGAGAGAGAAAGAGAGCAAGATGGAATCAAATCATTCTTTCCCAAGATTAACTCGAACAATTTTACATCTAATAGCGATAACCTCTTATGGAAGAACCCAATTAGCTGCACTTGTTTGGCAGTAATTCCCACCAGAACAATGGAGACGTGTATGATAGTCAAGTTGCATTATTGAACATAATATCATTAATTCTGTCAATACCAATATCAGAAATGGGTTCGATGGGCTTCTCATCTGTTAGAGAACGCTCAAGACTCGAAGGATCCCTACTGAATTCATCTGAACAAAGAGATGTCCATATCAGCAATCAGAAAACTTCAACAAAAGCACACTGGATTTTGGATCTTAACAGATAACACAGACTTAAGAAAAGAAAATTCCTAATGAACTTGTCTATTGCCAAAATGACTTTACTCATATAAAAAGGACTCGAGTCACAAGATATTTCGTGCAGAAAAATAAAGTCAAAAATACTCCCATGTGCAATAAGCTTAGGCAGTAATGTAGCAATCAAAATTAATCACACCTGTGTCACTAAAGTATTTGGCATCAAACTCACCAAAAACAGTGTTTAAAGACGCTGGTGAAGGTGTTGAAATGAAGTTAAGGCCAATGTAGAATCCCAACATCAATACAATGGTTACCATCACATAAGTTGGAACTGCTAGAGCCCAATACCTGAAAAGCAAAAGATTATTTAAATAGTTGAATCGACAATCTTTTCCATAGAAAAGAGCTGCGTTCCACAGCCAAAAAAATATCTGGAAAGCAAAAACTGAAAATAAATTTTCAAATTTTTTACATACAGATGATAAATCATTTTTCCAGATATTTTTGTTATTAAGGTCTCTGAATGAAGGAAAAAGTTGGGCTTACTACCATCCATTCCTTCCTCAAAAGCCCTACTTAAAAATAAACAGCTTAATTGACAAGCTTATACAGTTATTTTCACCTTAACTAACTTTACATTTTTAAACCTTAAAATTAAGATTAACAATTCGGAATTTCTCACTGGAGTTTGCTCAACAAACATTTCTTGTTTTGTGCACCTAAACAAATATATCTGATAGTTGTCAAAGCTTCAAATAACAGGAGTGGAGCTGTCTAACCTGCTAGGATAGTAAGAGATGCCAACAGATTGTAGCCAGGATTCTGGAATATATGCCCATACCAAGAACATAACTATACATACACAAAGGGAAAATGAAAATACAATAAAAGTCGCATATCACATATGAGCATCACATAAAACTTAGTGGGTGACTAAAAGACGTTTGTTGACAAGTAACAAATTTGCAATTATATAATATTGCACATAGAAAGTCATTCATCAGAGACGTTAGGCAAAAAGGGTTGAAACTGTGAAGAGTGGGATAAGAGGGAAGAAGACCTGTAGCAACAACAGTGGTAATAGAACCTACAAAACCATAAACTTCAGAAGGCTTAGGTCCATGATCGCCAGACAATCCAAAGCCAGAGGTTTTGTCATCGGGGTCAAAAAAGGACACAGTTGCCCTTCGTTGTCCTGACAAACTGAGGGTTCTTCTAGGACTGTTCACAGAACGGGGACTCTCCATGTCGCATCCCTGCTTCAATTACAGTTAGCCTCTTAACAAATACTCAAGAATTATGCAAATTCTGTCTGTTATAAATATAAAGTTTAACCATAACAAGTAAGTACCAATACCAACGTTCCTGAACACACTTTCAGACATAAACAATAATGCATACAACACTATTGAAAATCTGAATAAACAATGAGAAAAATAATCCCAACATATTAAAAAATGGCAGCGAGAGCATTAAGGATCAACTTATAACTATCTTTAAAAGACACTTTACTAGAAATACTTGTTTTCATGGCTTTTAGTCTTAAGAAATTATGCAAGTAGATTTGCAGATTGTTGTAGTGGGTGGTTGGAAGATCCTAATAAAGTGTATAGCCCATATAAGATTCAGAGCTTGGATCTTGTACAAACCCTATTGCCCCACCTCACAAGAAACCTTTGGAGTTGAAAAAAGCCTCCAACCAAAGATTCCAAGAACTTGAAAACATCTAATTGGTCCATATATCTTATCAATGTGTTACTACTTAATGGTACTAACATGGGTGATATTGTCGTTGTTGTCACAGTACAACTTCCCACAGCATTCTAGACTGAGCTATTGATTCAGAAGAGGCACAACACAAAGACTTCCTTCGCTCAGTAAGGCAGATATTTAATTTTAATAAAAAGAAAAATTGTGTGAGAAAAACATTGGATAATCTGGCAGGAGTGTGATATTTGATTCCACATTATCTTGTAGGAACACACTGAAGGGTACCGTGAGCTATCTGCAAAGACAAAAAAATTCTTTTTCTACTACAGTTGCAAAATGGATGTTGATTTCTATGTCAAGGTGGATGATGATGTCCACGTCAATTTAGGTATACGTATATGCTATTTCATGATTCTTGTTTTCTTTCTTGTGTTTCCTTGCCATTTTTTCCTCCTCTATCCTATTTCTCTCCCAAATAAGATTTAACATTGTAACATGTGCTGCTGTTTTGGTGTCCTAGCAACAACCCTTGATCGTCATAGATCAAAACCCAGGGTCTACATTGGGTGTATGAAATCATCACCTGTCCTTTCAAGAAAGTAAATCCACTGGACTTCTATGTATGTGCTTAAAATATTAGGAAAGAGGGTTCTCCTCTTCTATGCCCCTCATTGTGGCTTTGTATTAATGTTTGGCTTTGTTTTGTATTATAGGGATATCAAATACCATGAACCTGAGTATTGGAAGTTTGGTGAAGAGGGTAACAAATGCTTCCGACATGCAACTGGGCAGATATATGAAATCTCTAAGGATCTGACCACTTACATTTCCATCAACCAGTACGTATATGAATTTTCATGCAGAACTTAATTGGCTATCTTCTGATCTCTGTGCCACGCCTGTTTCTTTGGTTAGATAATTTGTGCTGGGATAACCAGACCAGCTATTTTTACTGTATTTTCCGCCAAAAAATTTTAAAGTGATGATCAGTTTGAATAAACTTATCCAGAAACACTTCTAAGAAGTGAAAATATGAAGAAAATTTGAAATAAGTTTTTCCATAAATTAAAACTAGCTTATGTATGAGTTATAAACAATATTTTAGAGAAGTTAATAGGAAAGATCTTTTATAAATTAGTTTATGCATAAGCTAATTGTAGCTAATGAAGAAGCTTGTCACATTTTCCTTCCTATTTTATACCTTATCCCTCTCAGCCCTAACCCATTTCTTCTCTTTTCTGTTCAGCTTCAAAAAATCACCAACACACAATCATATATTGTCACTATGCTAAAGGTACAGAAAAAATTGAATCTGAAATATATAAGATATAAATATATAAAATTCAAGTAAAATGAAAGGAATTGGGGCATCATAACCATAATGAGCACTCGTCAGACAACTTCTGGTTTTCAAAAGCACAAGGGAATACGAGTAATTACAAAAGAAAATCATAAAGCTGCACCTTTTTATCAGAATCTTGCTCACATAAAAATGAAATTTATAAGAACAAATTTAAACAAAAATTACCTTCACCAAATGGGGATTTACTGGTGGTGATATGAAGAACAAGCGCTTGTTCATGCACCGCAAACTAGGTCGGCACAGGCTATCATTAAAGAAAAAATAATAGGGAAAAAAACACGATGAAATGCAAAACCAAATTTATGAAATAAAAAATATCGGAAAAAGCTAATTTAAGAGTAGGATTTGAGTACTGAACGATGGAAATGATAGATAGATACCCTTCTGGAGATTCTTGACGTTGTTTGAGGAAAAAGTGATCCTACGCACAAAATTAAGAATGCAAACTGAATCAAAAGTAACAGAGCAGTTGGAGAGGATTTATAGAAATTCAGGTTTGTAATAGATTTCTTAGGCTTTTATTGGGGGAGAGAAGGTAAGAAAATAAGCGAAAATTGATTTAATAGAAATTAGAAGAAAAAAAATTAGGTGAAATAAAATTAAATTTGTAATTATTTAATAAAATAGGATTAAATGAAAAATAAAGTGAATTTTATATTTATAATTATTATTTTAATTTTATTTTATAACATAATTAGAATTAATATTTTTTATTTTATGTAATGTTATATATTTTTGAAAACTTAATTCGTATAAATTACAAATTTTTAATTACACAAATATATTTAATTAGGTTATAAATTAAAAATATAAGTGGTTTTGAAAAGCACGAGGGAATACAAGTAATTACATAAAATATATATTTTTAATTTATAACCTAATTAAATATATTTTATGTAATTACTCGCTTGAGGTTTATGGATGATGCTTTGATAGGATGTCATATCAAAGTTCATGACTTAAGATTTGTTATTTTATTTACTTGATTTATTTCATTTTATTTAAGAACAATGTTAGTCTTTTGATTCATGTATTATTTTTGGGTAACCATGGTGGTCTAATGATTATTATTACGTAAGACATTTATATTTTGAACTTATTCCATTTTGAGCTAAATGTGAATTATATAACCTTAAAGACATTTTGTGAACTATTATTTATTTCAAATAAAAAATTTATTTGGACGAGATTGTTTTGCTTTATTAATATTTAAGAGTATGATCAGTATGCGAGATAGAGATATCACACTAATTATGAAAAGAAAAAAAATATGTATATATATAAACTTTTTAAAAAATTTAGATTGTAAACAATTTTTTAAAATCTAAAGATTAAATTATAAAAATATAAAAAATGAAAAACTTAATTATAATTTTTTTAGTTTAAAAGTCTAATTAAAAATTTTCAAAAAGTTCAAGAACTAAATGATTTATTAAACCATTTTCAAAGATTAAATTTGTAGCCCAATATAATAATACTTACCTCAAACAATATTGCCTTTTATGTGTATAATATATTATCTATTCTATTTAAAGTATATATAAAGGAAACAACTTTTTCCCTCTAAAATCTTACTCCAATAAATTTGTTATAAATATTTATTCCTTCTAATAATTTCTTCCGAAATATTTTTATGTATAAATAATATTATAAAATATTTGCTACTGAAAGTAAGTAAAAAATATATATATAAAAACTCCTAATGAAAATTAAAAAAAATAAATATATAAAAAAATTATACTAAAAATAATTAAAAATAAATATATCAA